AATCTTTTCAGAAAGCAGTAGGCCACCTTTTCTATTTTGTTGTAACACCACTTCGACAGGTTAGGTCTACTTTAACCCTGCAATTCTATGAAACCCATAATTCTTTACTGTTTGTCTTATCAGGTGACAACAGCTCCCACTAGCGACAGCCAATTTAAAAAAGACGACTGCAACTACAGATTCAACACATTGCTGAAACAACTAGAAGTGGTCTATGACAAAAGCAAAGGGTTTTTCCCCCACATGTCATCTGTTTTAGGCTATACAATTTTTTTCTTACTGGCTTTATTTTTAAAAGTCACCTGGCTATAATTTTGAGTCCTCCCCCAAAGCAGACAAATCCTAATCAATAGATGTATGCTTTAAAATGCCCCACCTCACATGAGGCTTCAGAGCTTACTTAAACCCAAATTAAATTTAAAATAGCAGAGAATACTTTAAGCTCTTGTTTGGAAAGTTCACCTGAGATTTAAATTGCTTTGTGAGATTGATGTCTTGGCTTCAGCTTTAAGAGGGCACAAGAACTATTCCTGCTGCTGACAAAAAAAGAGCAAAGAGAATCTCTAACCAGCACCCTCAGAGCTCCATCCAAACCAATTTAAGTTCCCCAAAGTACACGCTGTACTCGGAGCCCTAGATCTTTGTACAGCCCTCTCATGCTGCCCTCTGGAACTTCTCCCTGTCTCCTCGTCTGGGAAGCAGGGAGTTTCCACCCCATCATAAAGTTAGCAGTTCCTCCCCCTCTACACATAGGACAAGTACGTGACAGAGGTGAAGTGCTGATCTGTTCATTTGTCCCTCTCATTAGCCTCCAAGAACATTAAGCATCTAGAACTGTAGGCCTAGAACTCCATAAATAGCCCAAAATGGTCACAGAATAAAATTTTCTTGAAGACACTGGTTTATTATCGGGCACAGATTACTCCAAAGTATTTCTGGGTCAGTCACCTGCCCCACTTAACGCAAAATCTAGACTTAAATGTTTTCTGTTTAGCTTGTGATTAGCGCCCCCAGGGCTTTTGCTACACCAACCACAACCTCTAAAGTTACATACCTGGAGGATGGAGCATGTACCGACCAGCCAAAATCTGCAATCTTAAGCTCTCCAGCTGATCCAAGAAGCAGGTTCTCTGGCTTAATGTCTCTATGAATAACTCTCTTTGAATGGCAGTAAGACAGGGCATTTGCCAATTCTGTGATATACTATTAAAAAAAGTATTAAAAGCCTATGTGTTAGACTTTCCAAAATACACGTTAATATTAGACATCTCTTCTGCAAGGAAACCCAACATAGATTAACATGTTTTGCAGGTTTTAAGGCAAACATTGTAGAAGTGATGTATGGAGTCTACAAAACTCAATTGAACCAATTTATAGTGGTTAGCATGAAGCACAAGTTACTCAGTGCTTAGTCCTGTCTCTGTTAATACAGCTGATGTGACTGAAAGGAAAGACACTATCTTACAGAATTAAGAATGCTGAAGAACTGGTACAAATTAAGGATTCACATGT